CCCGAGGCCGGAGATGGCCCAAAGGCCCCCCCCCCCCGTCCTGATGTCTTTTCCGCGGCGCGATCCTGCCTGGGCACTCGGCGACGGCTGCTGCGGCTGCGACGACGAGCGCGGCGGCGGCGGCGGCGGCGAGCACGCCGACGGGCACTGCCCGGGCCCGGCCGCCCCCCGGGGCGGCGGGAGGAGCACGGCGCGCACGGGCGAGGGGCGGCCCGGGGCCGCCGGTGGCCGCCGCCGAGGACGTGCACTTCCTGTACGTCGTCATGGAGCTCTGCCAGGGCGGCGAGGCCCCTCGTCGACGAGCGGGGGCGCGGCATGAGCGTGCGGTGCAGTGGGAAGAGGGGGGTGATGGCTAGGGGGGGGTGGACATATTGGGGCGGGGGCCATGACATCTCCCCAGATCTCCCCGGCGCCTCTTCTTGCTTCGGTATGTCCCCGGCCCCCCCCCCCCCTCGTGGGCCGCGCCCGCGTGCCGCCGGCCACGACTTGCGCCTCCCCCTCGTGGACGACCCCCTCCTGGACGCCCCCGATCATCGAAGCGCGGAGCGCGGCATGAGCAGAAGCTCTCGGAGCTCGGCGTGGGCTGCTCGGAGATCTGCGCCGGGCCCCGGCCTGGCGCGCGCCGCGCGCCAGGGCGGGGGGTCCAGCGCGGAGCCGAGAAATCCGCGCGGACCTCCAAAGGTCTATGTTTATGCAGTTCTTTTTTCTCTACATCAGCTCTAGGCCTCCCAGTCAGTTGGGGTCCGAGTGGGGTCGGACGATCGCTCCGCGTCGCCGATGCGGCTCGATGCAGAGCCCGACTTTTGCCACGCCGACGGCGCCGATCCTTCGCCGACGTCGCCGATGCATCGGCGCCGCATCGGCAATGCATCGCCGATGCGGCGCGGTCCTCCGACCCCATCTACAGTCGGACCAAGGTATGAGATCGAGGTCGATTCGGGGAGGGTACCCTGATGTTCTTCGTGCTTGTTGGATGCTCTTGTGCATCTTTGGATGAGGCACCCTCGAGTGTTATTCAGTTTGTGCCAGCGGAGGGTCTCATGTTCTTGAAGGATGTTCTTCCGTGCTAGGTCCGGCCGTACTCGGACCCCATCGAGGTCTCTAGCAGCAACGTTTGTCCGATCCTGGGCCACGGCACGGTGGAGGCGCTCGTTGAGGAATGTGCCTAGTAGGCTGCAGACCCTGGAGGATTCCTTTTCTGATGAGTGCGGCGGTGATGTCCATGGCCGATCCACGGTTGGAGTTCCACCAGCTTCTAGACCCTGGGTTCCTTATCGAAGGGTGCCACGTCCAGTGCCATGTCTCATGCCCCCACCGTATCTCAGCCCCGTCAGGCCGAACCCCCGAGATGGGGGTAGGCCCCGCGAACCCCCGAGGGGAGCAGCACGCACTCCTGCCTCTACATAGTGGGGGGTCAGATCGGTCCGTAGGGCCAGGGCCACGCTAGCTGGGGACGGTACAGGCTAGGCAGGAGGGGAACAAACACGCACGGAGGCACAAACAGAAGTTCGCCCCGCTCCCAGGATCGCGCGGAAGAGATGGGAGGTGGAGGGGGAAACGAACCTCCAGAGAGTGTGGAAGAACATGCGTGGAGGAGGAGGAGGAGGAGGAGGAGGAGGAGGAGGAGGAGGAGGAGAGGAGGAGGAGGAGGAGAGGAGCAGGAGAGGGGAAGGAGCGAAGAGGAAGGAGGAGGAGGAGGAGGAGGAGGAGGAGGAGGAGGAGGAGGAGGAGGAGGAGGAGGAGGAGGAGGAGGAGGAGGAGGAGGAGGAGGAGGAGGAGGAGGAGGAGGAGGGAGGAGGAGGAGGAGGAGGAGGAGGAGGAGGAGGAGGAGGAGGAGGAGGAGGAGGAGGAGGAGGAGAGGAGGAGGAGGAGGAGGAGGAGGAGGAGGAGGAGGAGGAGGAGGAGGAGGAGGAGGAGGAGGAGGAGGAGGAGGGGAGGAGGAGGGAGGAGAGGAGGGAGGAGGAGGAGGAGGAGGAGGAGGAGGAGGAGGAGGAGGAGGAGGGAGAGGGGAGGAGGAGGAGGAGGAGGAGGCGGAGGAAGGAGGAGGAGGAGGAGGGAGGAGGAGGAGGAGGAGGAGGAGGAGGAGGAGGGAGGAGGAGGAGGAGGAGGAGGAGGAGGAGGAGGAGGAGGAGGAGGAGGAGGAGTGGGCCCCTCTCGCCGAGCGCTGGCCAGCCCCCCCCCCTGGGCGCCCCGAGCAGCGCGAGGGCCGCGGGCCGAGGCCCACAGCGGGAGCCCTCGCGAGAGCGCTCGTCGGGGCCCCACGGCGCAGAGGCCGGGCGGGACCCGCGGGGCCTCTCGTGATCGGGACGATCGAAATGGGTACGGAAAGAATGGGTTCAATGCCCAACAGCAGTTCCTGTTCATTTTGAACAGGGATCCATGTCCGCGCCGCCGCGGACATTGTTCACTGAGGAAAGAGAGCTGCCTGCGCAACAGCGGCCGCTGTCGGTTTTGGACAACATTAGCTGTTGGGCACTGTACCCATTTTTTCCGTACCCACTTCGGGCGTCCGAACGTGAGGCCCGCCGCCTCGGGCTGGCGTGGGGCGCTCCAGAGAGGGCCTCGCCTGCGAGGATCGGAGGAGCTCACGAGCGGCGGACACGTCTCGAGCAGGGGATATCGACTGCACGAGTGAGCTGCCCCGCAATTGAGTATTTTCTCGTCGAATGCATTGGCAGAATGCGGGAGGGACGAGAATGAGGAGGAGGAGGAGGCGGAAGAGGAAGAGGAGGTGGAGGCGAAGGAGAGGGGAGAGTGAGAAGGGGGGAGGAGGAGGAGGAGGAGGAGGAGGAGGAGGAGGAGGAGGAGGAGGAGGAGGAGGAGGAGGAAGATGAGCAGACTGGTTCGAGGCGGCGTGTCTGACGCCCGCGCAGGTCTTCGCCAAGATTGTGGAGCTGAAGCGCTTCGGCGAGAAGGACGCAGCAGTGCTAGGCCCGCGGGGGGCAGAGGACGAGGGTGTCATGGATGCAGGACCCGCTTCCCCCATGCCAACCTTCCCCGCGACACCTCCCCGTCCAGTCGCCTCGCCTCCATCCCCTCGTCCATTCCCGTGGTCGTGCCGCTGCCCCCTTCCCCCCTCCCCACCTCCCCCCCTCAGCTCGCGCCGCTCTCTGCCCTCCTTCCCCCCCGCCCCCTCCTGACAGGCAGGGGACCCGTACCGTCGGACCGAGGTGCCAGATCCAGGTCGGCTCGGGGAGTGCGCCCCGGTGCTCTTCGTGCTTGCCGGACGCTCTCTTGTGCATCATTCCTGGGGAGGGTGCCCTCAGATGTCCCGTCCGCTCTGGCCGACGGAGGGCCTCACGCACGCTCTCGAGGGGTGCTCCTTTGGCCTAGCTGTGTCCGACTGTGCTGCCCCCCCCCGCCTCGCGTCAAAAAGGGCGCGGCGGAAGGTGTTCGGCGACATGCGGCCTCCTGGGGCCCCGCAGGACCCCTGGGAGCGGCAGAAGCAGACAACAAGTGAGGAGGAAGACCCCGTGCCCCGAAGCATCTGGTGCTCCGGAGCAGATGCCGCTGTTCACATGGAAGCAGAAGCACGTGGTATGGCCGCGAGCTGTGTCGCCGACCTGACCGGCAAGGTGTCGCGGCCGCCGAAGCGAGCTCGTGCTCTGTGATCTCATGTTCTTCAGCAGCACGAGAAGTGGCGCTTGGCACCCAAAAAACCGTGCTGGTCCAGGCGTCTGATGTGGTCCTTCTTCCACCGCGTGGCTCCCCGCCAGAGGGCACCAACTATACACCAACACCGATCCTGGCCAGGATCGGTGTTGGTGTATAGTTGGTGCCTTCCTACCCCGGAGGACGACCCTTTCCCGGGGCCCATTTTTTTCCTCCATCCCGGGCCGTCTTTGGCGGTGCCCGGGGCATGCGAGGGCCGCGGGAGGCCGAAGAAGTGGCCAGAATGCTTCCTCAAGGGCTTGACGACTTTCCGCTTGTCGACCTGTGGGGATCGCGCCAGCTAAATCCAGGAAGAACTGCCAAGACATCGAGGCGCATCCAGGTAGATCGTCGTACATTCAGGTCACCCAAAGATTTCCCAAGAGCATTTGGAGCAAATCCTGGTGGGTCCAGCGCGAGTCGATGGGCGGCAGAAGTCGTTAGGCCTTTGACGAATGCTGCCGTTTCTTTTTTTTTTTTTTTTTTTTTTTTTTTTTTTTTTTTTTGTTATTTTTTATTTTTTTATTATTATTTATTTATTTATATATATATATATGTTTTTTGTTTTTTTTCACGACGCGAGGATGCCGAGAGGTCCAGGCCCCCGAGGCTCGAGCAGATGGGGTGAAGGGGTGCACCAAGGGGGGCCCAGAGGGCGTCGGGGGTGAGCTGGCCCGACCGCGCCTCGGTGCGTGCGACGAGGGGGCCACCGCCCAAAACCGCCCTGCGAGAGCCCGAGGGGCCTCCAAGACGAGCCCAGGGGGGCCGTCGGAGAACTCCACGAGGATCTTCGTTGGGCAGACACGGGGATTTTCGCTCAACGCGAGGCTTCCCTACTTTTGAGGCGGCGATGGCTCCAGGAGGGCCTCGGAGAAGCGGATGAGCGTCCAAAGAGGTCCCTGGAGCTGCTCTCAGGATGGGCCCTACCCCAAGCGGGAGGAGGAGGAGGAGGAGGAGGAGGAGGAGGAGGAGGAGGAGGAGGAGGAGGAGGAGGAGGAGGAGGAGGAGGAGGAGGAGATGGCGCCTGGGGGAGAGCCCGCCACGGCAGCGGAAAGCCCCAAGACGGTCCCAAGATGGCCCCGAGAGCGCCCCGAGATCTGCGAGCGGGGCTCGCTGAGGGCCCCACGGCAGGCCAAGAGGGCCGCTTGCGGCTCCACGACCTCTCCAGGAGGGCCACAAGAAGAGCATGGCGCCAAGAGCACCCCCGGCTGGTCAGACTCAGACGACACGCATTCTTCTGCGTCGGCGGCTGGGCAGAGTCACTGCGCTGGCGACAGGGCTAACAGACAGCAAGCACACGCACCTCCCAGGCTTCTGACCTTTGCTTCAAGGTAGCAGGGCATCGGCCC